CTGTACTGGATATTGAGGATAAAAAATTAGTAGTTTTTTGTATTTACGAATACCGGATGGTATCTACATTTAACATATTAATTCAAATTATATACTACAGCTTTCAATTTCCTTGTTCGTGCCAATCATTGCAAACATTTATGAAACAAAAAGATAAATTAATTTGAACATAAAGTATCTCTATTTTATGGATACCATTACTACAATTATTTCTCTGGACACAACTTGCCATCCTGTAGAATTGAAAAGTTTCACAAATTCATTAATATAGTATACTCAAAAATTTCAGGTAATCTGAGCACAATTGATTAATTTGTTAATAGAATTATAATTTTACCCTCTACAATGTTCCCAATAATATTATGATCAACTCGTATAATATGTAAATCAAGTAATATTAGAATATCTTACATTGGAAAGCAATATTCAAGACATTTTTGGCTTTAAAACCTTCTGCTAATTAATGTTACATATCAGTACCGCTGGAAAAAAATAATTTAGTTGATAATTCTAAATATCAAGGCTCATAAGATTAAAAAGAGTAGAATCTATCAATAGGAGTACAACTAAAAATGTGATATTATTGTTTCTCAATTCAATTTTGGGTTCGTAAGTACTTGGTTCTTTTTCTGGTATTGTATGCTGTCGTTATTTGTTGAGCTTAATGTCCTTTAAAAGGCGAAATACTTCGCCACATTGTACAATTATTTTCCATATTAGTGCACTTTATTTTTATATATGTGAGGCATCTAAACTAATAATAATTAAGATAATATATTATAGTCTCTTTTAGGTTAAGTGTTGGGCTTAAATTAATAATTGTACTTTTTGAATCACTTGTAAGAACAAACACTTTATATTTTTATGCAATTTGTTTAAAGTAGCCAACAAACAGTAAAAGCCATTGTCTACAAAAAAAAATTCTTTTGTAAGTCGTCGCCAGTAGCTGTGCTGCTCTGTAACTTCTAAAACATGAAAACTGTCTTGATGATTAGATTTATTCTAAATTGGTTGACCAAGCATCTGCATATTCGCAAAAAGAATCTGACTTTGTATTATTGGTTAGTACACTACTTGCTGTACTTTTTATTATTATTATTATTATTATTATTATTATTATTATTATTATTATTATTATTATTATTTTGTTTTGTTTTCTTGCATTTGAAGGTGAACCGAATCTACAACAATTACACAGATAATTAACCTTTGAGCAGGAAAGGAAAACGGAATCGGAAAGGGAAATCGGTTTTGTTTATATTATCCAGGTATATAACTACGCCGTGACCAGTTCTCCTCAAGATAATTCTCTTAACTTATAGGTAGTACCAAATCCTTTTCACTTCGCAGAAAAGTGTTAACTGGATGCGAAAAATTTGTTCTCTCACCTTCCAGCGTCAGCAATGATTGGGTACATGAGCTATCCATCCCACCCTTACTTTCCTGCTAACTTGAAATACTTCCTACATTAGTACTTGTGTACTATTTTCCTGCACATAATTTGCTGGAACATAGAAACACAAACATGTAAGTTCATGACGTTTCATCAGATTTATTAAAATCACTTCAAGAAAAGAAGTACAAAGTTATCGATATTTTCCTTATCATATTGTATATCTATAGAACAACAATAGAAACGTAGGATATTTAGAAAATTCTGCAGTCTTTTGAATTTGACCACTGACTTGAAAATAGATCTTTTCCTCATCATCATCATCATCATCATCATCAATTTCATCTTCTCCCTGTGAAGTATCTCATCTTCTTTGTTATACATTTACAGTTTCAGTATACCTTATTGTTCAAGAAAAAGAAATTTACCAAAGAGAAATGGAAAGCACTCGCAGATGGACATTGTTATTTATTGCAAAGCATATTTATGTACTTGTAAGTTTTGCATCATTGTTAAGTCTGTGCCACTATGACTCTTCCTCTCGATCACATATGTAAAACTCGTAGTTGGAATTCAATAAGTGGAACCCCAACTGTATTGAAATTAATAGTTATGGTTAGGCATGCATAAAATTGGATGCTGCAAAAATTGAGGCTTAATCAAACAATCGGATAGCTTTGTACAATTAGATCACCAGCATTGCATTTCAAAAATTGTTTTCCCACATTTACTGCGTGTGTGGTTTCCATTCATTTTCTTTGTTCATTGTTAAATAAAAAAATAGATGATCATGGTTTTTGGAAAGCACAAAAAAGGCAAGATTAATGGTTGACCGTTCGAGAATGTATATAAAAATTTAATTGTGTTTTTATTTTTCAAAGGGTATGATTTCTTTTGGCTGAAAATACACTAAAACCAAGGCATCAAGTACATGAACTTCTCTAGAAATGATTACCCAACACAACAATGCCCGCAAATTAAAACGAAATGTAGAATTTATGTTTTGGATTTGCCTGTTGAAAATTTGACCCTGAAATTCGCGTTTAGTATAAATTTCCCAAAATGAATGTACAGTAGGGGGGACAAATGTTTCCAAATGAAATTCCCAGATGTAATCGAGTTTTATGCATAAGTGCGATAGTTGTAATTTAAAATTGCAGAGAGCAGGCAGCTTTTAACAGTCTATACATTGTGTGAATATTGTAGCACTTGAACGTACTATCCTAAGGGAGAGATTAATTATGAGCTTTGTTGGCACATCTGTCAAATGCTTTAATTATTCTTGAAGATTACAACCAACCTGCAAGATGATAGACACATCTTTTATGACCCTGTGATAGAAGCTGCGAAAAGGATCACTCATCCCAAGAAAAAATCCATTCTTGGTTTCTTTTTGTTTTTTGTCTTTTTCTTTTAGTTTGAAGCGCAAAACAAAAAAAATGAATAGAAACTATGTTAAGAGATCATACTTTTTGCATTAACCGAGTTAACAAGTGGAAACTAGCACGTAAATAGTCTCATCCGACTTCTAGGCCCCGTGAATCAGCTTTTTACACAAAGCATATTCATTGTGTGTAGTGCTCTAGAAGCAAGTTTGAACCCTAAGTCGCACAAAAACATTCTGGCATCATTACGCATTAGTTTACTCATCTTCCTGCAAAGTTGCAAGACCTATATACCAGCCAATGTATTGTAATATATTCTTTATGATTAGAAGAAGATAGTTATTTATAGAAAAAGAACATTTGAAACTTATTTTTGGGTGATTTTAAAAACGTATTAAATAGTTTTTCAAATTCCGAGTATGATTGTGTATTTTTAATTTAAAAATTGCTGAAAATTTTAACAAAATTTAATCAAAAAAAAAAAACACTCAATTATCAAGATATCCAATATATACTTCTATGTTTTTATAAAAACAATCTATATTACACCATTTAAAGTTGGAAGGCTACACTCTTGAAGCAATTAATGGAACATGCATAGAATTACAACAAATACCCTTTTTTCTAAGTATCTATACTCTTTTCGAGCCTTCAAACAGTACATGTAATTAGCTAACGCTAATCAGGAAAAGTATAATCAACATTTTATATAATTTTTACAGTAATTTTAATTACAGCATGTGGTAAATTACTACTAAAAATATAGGTTATATAGAGAGTTCAAGTAGTCCTCATATTTTTTAACTTTCAATTTTTTTTTCTTTTTTACTAATGCTTAACAATATCAATGTACTTTTAAGCTTGTAAGTTATTTGTTCATTGATAACTTGGATTAAAGATTTATAACCAATATATCTGTTGCGGTGCTTATTACATATCGAACTGCATAGTATAGGTGTATGATAACTTTGTTAAAGAGCCTTAGAATAGCCAATCTTTATTTGAACAATACTTTACGATAAAAACCAGTATAAAAGACAAATTCGTGCATTTATAGCCAATAGAAAATTTGCTTACCCTTTAAATATTATCCCTGATTTGTTCACGACTATACAAATAATAAATGATCAAACAAATAAGCACAAAAAGAAATCATAACAGTTAGACTATCACAATTTTAATCAAACAGCAATATTTATTAAGAGCATAAAGCTTAATCAGTTGTGATAATTAATGCCGTTTTTCGTAATCTCTAGGGCTAGTGTGATACGTAAACCAACAAAACTTCATTGTTTTGGCCCTTGTAATGTATAAGGCGTCTATCAAGCCAGTCAAAAGATAGGCGAGCAGCTTGAAGACTCAAAAAAGCATCAAGTAATTGCCCATATAACACTGGGAATGAGGAACAATGGTCAAAATTGAACAAAAACAAAAAAAAAATCCAAATTTGCAGATTAAAAATAACTATGTTCATCAATACTCCATCCTTTTTAACAAACTTATGAAAATAAACAACTACAAAATTTTGAATAGGGACTAAAAATACAATAAATAGAACCACTATAATAGTATTAAAAACGAGATTAAACCCTTTAAAAGGTGTATTGTTTGGTTTTATTTGTTTGTTCTTGTTTTGTTGAAATATTGCGAAAGATTTTGAGATTTATTTTGACTTGAGTTGTGCATGGAAAAAATCGCACATTCTTTTACAACGTTTTCATTCAAAGAAAACGGTTGCATTTGGATTTGATTCTTTAAATGACACACAAAATAGCTTTGTGCTTTAGCAAATTTGGAAGAGCAAATGTAGTCAACAATTAGCCTCTTTTTTTGGCTTAGCTGTACAAAAATGAAGATAAAAAAATAATAACCCTAGAGGGTTCTTTGTGTTATTGCTGCAAAATTGCTTAAAACAACTGCCCTCTTCTATGATTTTTTTAGTTCTCTCTGAAGAGTCCCATGCTTTCTAAATGTGAAATAGCAAAGTTTTTTGCTCAATGCCACTAGAAACTCTTCATGTATAGTTTCAAAAAACCACATTAGATAATATTTTCTTAAATTCCTCTCTCGTATGACCGAATTGTCTCATCTAGAAAAAGTTTGAAAACTCAGTCTATAAATAAGACTGATTCTTCCATGACTTTACTAACGAAACAACAAATACATATAAGAAAATTGTTAGATATTCAACTTCACTCTTTAAAAAGTATCGTTTCGTTAATATGTTTCTATTACAAGCAGTAATTTTATACTGTTCATTCATTGTTACTGCGGTTGCTAAAGAAATTTCTGGTGTATTTACTGGTTTTGAATCCTTAACGTGGGATAAAGCTGCTAATTACGGCTTTCAGGGTCCACAATATCCAACATGGAATGCCGTTCTTGATTGGTCGTTAGATGGTACAACCACGTCCCCAGGTGACACGTTCACTTTGATCATGCCTTGTGTCTTCAAATTCACTACATCTGCCACTTCTATCGATTTAAGAGCTAATGGTATTACATATGCCACATGTGATCTTCATGCCGGTGAAGAGTTTACTACTTACTCCAGTTTGACTTGTACTGTTACTGATTCGTTAAGTTCTGTCCATCAAGCAGCGGGTACAGTCACAATTCCTTTGGCATTTAACGTTGGTGGTTCTGGTTCTTCTGTTGATATTGCTGATTCTACTTGTTTCACTGCTGGCACAAACACTGTTACTTTCCAAGATGGTGATACATCAATCAGTACCCAAGCCTATTTTGCTGCAGCTACTGAATCTTCTTCTGGTCTCCTTTACTTCCAAAGAAGTGTTCCTTCATTGAACAAGCTTAATGCACTTGCAATTCTCCCAGATTGTCCCAATGGTTACACTTCTGGTACTCTTGGTTTCTCATCTTCTAATTCCAGATTTCTGATTGATTGTTCCAGTGCTGAAGCTTACATTACAAATCTTTTAAATTCCTGGAACTACCCAACTTCAGCGGATTCCTTTTCTTATACCCAAACTTGTACTTCCAAAAGTTTTCAAATAACATTCAATAATATTCCAGCCGGTTATCGTCCATATATTGCTGCATTGGTTCAAGCTCCATCTTCGGATTATGCTATACAATATACTGCAAAATACAGGTGTGAAGGTTCTGTCCAAAGAGATGATTCACAAAAGATATCTTGGGCCGGTTACACAAATAGTGACCCAGATTCAAATGGTGCTGTAGTTGTTCTTACAACTATTACAGGTACTCAGTCCAATACTATTGTTACCACATTGCCTTTCAACCCGACTGCTGATCACACAAAAACGATCGAAGTGATTGTTCCAATTCCAACAGTAACTACTACCACTTCCTATATTGGAGTTACTACTTCTTATACCACAATTACTGGTACTATTGGTGGAACGGCTACTGTTATTGTAGATGAACCGTATCATACTACTACCACTGTTACTAGTCCCTGGACTGGAACCTTCACCACTTCAACTACTGTCATTGCTTCTACTGACTCGGTTGATACCATCATCATTCAAGAACCAACTCCAAACCCAACCGTTACTACTACTGAGTATGGTTCCGTTGAAACTACCATCACATATACCAACCCACCAGGTGGTACTGATACCGTTGTTGTCATCGACCCACCAAACCCAACTGTCACCACCACCGAATATGGATCTGTTTCTGAACCAACCACTATCACCTACACCAACCCACCAGGTGGCACTGATTCTGTTGTTGTCATCGACCCACCAAACCCAACTGTCACCACCACCGAATATGGATCTGTTTCTGAACCAACCACTATCACCTACACCAACCCACCAGGTGGCACTGATTCTGTTGTTGTCATTGAACCACCAAACCCAACTGTCACGACCACCGAGTATGGATCTGTTTCTGAACCAACCACCATCACATATACCAACCCACCAGGTGGTACTGATACCGTTGTTGTCATCGACCCACCAAATCCAACCGTTACTACTACTGAGTATGGTTCCGTTGAAACTACCATCACATATACCAACCCACCAGGTGGCACTGATACCGTTGTTGTCATCGACCCACCAAACCCAACTGTCACCACCACTGAATATGGATCTGTTTCTGAACCAACCACCATCACCTATACCAACCCACCAGGTGGTACTGATACCGTTGTTGTCATCGACCCACCAAATCCAACCGTTACTACTACTGAGTATGGTTCCGTTGAAACTACCATCACATATACCAACCCACCAGGTGGTACTGATACCGTTGTTGTCATCGACCCACCAAACCCAACTGTCACCACCACCGAATATGGATCTGTTTCTGAACCAACCACTATCACCTACACCAACCCACCAGGTGGCACTGATTCTGTTGTTGTCATTGAACCACCAAACCCAACTGTCACCACCACCGAGTATGGTTCCGTTGAAACTACCATCACATATACCAACCCACCAGGTGGCACTGATACCGTTGTTGTCATCGACCCACCAAACCCAACTGTCACCACCACCGAATATGGATCTGTTTCTGAACCAACCACTATCACCTACACCAACCCACCAGGTGGCACTGATACCGTTGTTGTCATCGACCCACCAAATCCAACTGTCACCACCACCGAATATGGATCTGTTTCTGAACCAACCACTATCACCTACACCAACCCACCAGGTGGCACTGATACCGTTGTTGTCATCGACCCACCAAATCCAACTGTCACCACCACCGAATATGGATCTGTTTCTGAACCAACCACTATCACCTACACCAACCCACCAGGTGGTACTGATACCGTTGTTGTCATTGAACCACCAAACCCAACTGTCACCACCACCGAATATGGATCTGTTTCTGAACCAACCACTATCACCTACACCAACCCACCAGGTGGTACTGATACCGTTGTTGTCATTGAACCACCAAACCCAACTGTCACCACCACCGAGTATGGTTCCGTTGAAACTACCATCACCTACACCAACCCACCAGGTGGTACTGATTCCGTTGTTGTCATTGAACCACCAAATCCAACTGTCACCACCACCGAGTATGGTTCCGTTGAAACTACCATCACATATACCAACCCACCAGGTGGTACTGATTCCGTTGTTGTCATCGACCCACCAAACCCAACTGTCACCACCACCGAATATGGATCTGTTTCTGAACCAACCACTATCACCTACACCAACCCACCAGGTGGCACTGATTCTGTTGTTGTCATTGAACCACCAAACCCAACTGTCACCACCACCGAGTATGGTTCCGTTGAAACTACCATACACATATACCAACCCACCAGGTGGTACTGATTCCGTTGTTATCATCGACCCACCAAACCCAACTGTCAC